TTTTTTTGAGACAGTGTCTCGCTCTGTTGCCCAGGCTGGAGTGCAGTGGCTCTGCCTCAGCCTCCCGAGCAGCTGGGATTACAGGTACCCATCACCAAGCCTGGCTAATTTTTGTACTTTTAGTAGAGATAGAGTGTCACCATCTTGGCCAAGCTGGTCTTAAACTCCTGACCTTGTGATCCACCTGCCTCAGCCTCCCAAAGTGCTTGGATTACAGGCGTGAGCCACCACGCCCGGCCTGAATTTCACACTCAAAACCTCTCCTTCCTGAGAAAACAGCACCCCTGGGTGCTTAGAAGATATTTTTGGTCTATTGCAAGAAAATATGTATTAGCTGGCAGGGCATGTCCTGGTAACATGGCAGACAGTGCAAGGGTGAGGAGAGGGGTGTCTTGCTGAATAATGTGTCTCCACCCATTTCCTAAATTCCCTTGGTAACAGATGGGTCATCATTTGAATTGCTTTATAAAAAGCTGTCTTCAAATCTGAAGCACAATCTTGAGGGCAGATGCCTCTTTCTGAAAGCTCTCCTCCTTATTCATCTAACCCAGGTCCTCAGCCAGCAGAGCCATGTTCCTCAAGAGCACCACGGGTTTATTTCATTTTCCTACATCACTGACCCGAATATGCCGGGCGCCATGGGGACTCCGGCTTTGGGAGAAGCTGACGTTGTTATCCCCAGGAATAGCTGTCACTCTGGTCCAGATGGCAGGCAAGAAGGACTACCCTGCACTGCTTTCCTTGGATGAGAATGAGCTCGAAGAGCAGTTTGTGAAAGGACACGGTCCAGGGGGCCAGGCAACTAACAAAACCAGCAACTGTGTGGTGCTGAAGCACATCCCCTCAGGCATCGTTGTAAAGGTAGACAACAGAAGGCCGCTGAGGGGAGAGGCCCCGCCCAAGGGTCTCACAGCCTCCAGAGATTTCTCCCAAGTCTGAATGGGATCAGCTGAAGGGCATTCTCTTTCTGGCTCGGGCCACCCTCTACCAGCCAGGCAGTAGAGGGCACTGCAGATCTCGTCCCATCCCTGAGCCATTCCTCCCTAAGGCAGAACCACCTACAACAGCCTGGGAAGCCTGCTTCCAGGATCTTTTGGAGCCAGGGTATGGCTGCCATCCTTGAATTTGGCAGGCAGCACTGGTGCTTGGCTGCTGCCCCGGAAGCAACATCTTGACAAAGCTAAGCAGTGGCTGATAAAGGCAGGCGCCCGGGCAGCATGGTTCTTTCAAATCCATTCCCACTTCAGGAAGGCTGCTGAGATCCCCAGCATTGCTGTGGGCTCCAAGTCCCTGAGGAGGCAGCAAGCAGGCCTGGGTTGTCGGCTAGGGGTCCCAGCCCTTAGCTGTCCTGGCTGGTTAACATTAGCGTGGCCACGTCCTCCATGCCTCTCTGTCCCCTTTGGTAAATGTCGGTGATACCTCCCCTTCTGGACAGAGAGGACTGAGGGTGAGATCATGGAGGCCAGGCATTTTCCAACCTTAGAAGAAAAAATGCTGTGCACAGCTGCCTATGGGAGTCTTCCTTCTTTACATAAAAAGGCCAGGCACGGTGGCTCACACCTATAAACCCAGCACTTTGAGAGGCCGAGGTGGGTGGATTACCTGAGGTCAGGAGTTCAAGACCAGTCTGGTCAACATGGCAAAACCCCATCTCTACTAAAAATACAAAAATTAGCCGGGCGTGGTGGCGCGTGCCTGTAATCCCAGCTACTCAAGAGGCTGATGCAGGAGAATCGCTTGAACCCTGGAGGCAGACATTGCAGTGAGCCGAGATCACGCTACTGCACACCAGCCTGGGCAACAGACAAGATTCCCTCTTAAAAAAAAAAAAAGACAAGCCTGATCAGAGGGGCTCCCAGTCCATCTGCCTCATGGACTGGAAGCAGCACAGAAAAGAGATAGCCAAGGCAAGTGTTTCATGTATAATGATACTGGCAGCAGATACTTACAGACCATGGAAACGTGTGGGAGGAACTGTTCTAAGCAGCATTAACTCTGCAGTCCCCATAACTCCATGTTCATTATTTCCATCACAGTACAGGTGTGGAATCTGGGACACAGAGAGGCTAAGTGACCTGCCCAAGGTCCTGCCACTTAGTAGTTCAAACCATACCCCAAGTCCATGTACCTAACAGCTGCACTTCACAGCTAGGTTTTTGAGCCACGAGCATATCATGTAAAACCTCAATCACTTTTCCTCCTTGAAAAGTGTCATTCATGAGTAACAAAATTCTGAAACATGAGAGTTAATTTTTGTTTAACCTATTTTACATAACTCATTCCAAACTTGCTTTCAGTATTATTCTTTCACCGTAATTTCATAATTTTTTTTTTTTTTTTTTTTTAAGAGACAGGGTCTTGCTTTGTCAGCCAGGCTGGAGTACAGTGGTACAATCATGGCTCAGTGTAGCCCCAGACACCTGGGCTCGAGCAATCCTCCCGCCTCAGCCTCCTGAGTAGCTGGGACTGAAGGCATGCACCACCACACTCAGTGTTTTTTGTTTTGTTTTTTTTTGAGACAGTCTTGCTCTGTTGCCCAGTCTGGAGTACAGTGGCGCAATCTCAGCTCACTGCAACCTCCGCCTCCTGGGTTCAAGCAATTCTCCTGCCTCAGCCTCCCGAGTAGCTGGGATTACAGGTGCCCATCACCACGCCCAGCTAATTTTTTTGTATTTTTACTAGAGACGGGGTTTCACCATGTTGGCCAGGCTGGTTTCGAACTCCTGACCTCAAGTGATCTGCCCATCTTGGCCTCCCAGAGTGCTAGGATTACAGGCATGAGCCACCGTGTCCGGTCACCCAATTTTTACATTTTTGGTGGAGATGGGGGGTCTTGCTATGTTGCCCATGCTGGTCTCAAACTCCAGCCCTCAAGTGATCCTCCCATTTCAGCCCCCAAAGCATTGGGATTATAGGTGTGAGCCACTATGCCTGGCTTGGGATGTATCTTTTATCAAACAGCTTTGCAAGGCACTCACCTGTAATAACTAAGGCATTACATAGTGAATGAGTTATGGTTGACTAATAATAAAGATGCTATTTTCTTCCTTCAGACAGAACTTTATGCTTATGAATGGTGCACACAAAGTGGTTCTTCACTGGCCACAAGCTAGATACATAGTTGATATTTTTATAATTATTTTGGGACTTTAAGTTATTTGAAGGCCACTGTTGCTTCTAAACAAAATAGCACTCCTAAGATTAAAACAATCACAGTGAAAGCCACATAATACAGCAAGGGTGTGAGACACGGGGCAGAGGCAGGAAAGGGGCTGCTCTTCACTGCTACTGACTCATGGGGACTCCTGATAAGGGGCTTTGCCTTCCAGGTTTGTCCCTCTCTATAAAGCGAACAGGTTGTCATGACCAGCCTGACCAACATGGTGAAACCTCATCTCTACTAAAAATACAAAAATTAACTGGGCATGGTGGCATGCGCCTGTAATCCCAGCTACTTGAGAGACTGAGGCAAGAGAATCGCTTGGACCCAGGAGGCAGAGGTTGCAGTGAGCCAAGATCACTCCATTGCACTCTAGCCTGGGTGACAAGAACGAAACTCTGTCTCAATAAATAAATAAATAAATAAGCGAACAGGTTGAATTTAATGACTTCTGAGGTCGTGTCTGTTTTGTAACATCCTGTGGTTTTCACATTATAAAATATTATCTCTTACAGTGCCATCAGACAAGATCAGTTGATCAGAACAGAAAGCTAGCTCGGAAAATCCTACAAGAGAAAGTAGATGTTTTCTACAATGGTGAAAACAGTCCTGTTCACAAAGAAAAACAAGAAGCAGCGAAGAAAAAACAAGAAAGGAAAAAAAGAGCAAAGGAGACCCTGGAAAAAAAGAAGCTACTGAAAGAACTGTGGGAGTCAAGTAAAAAGGTCCACTGAGAAAAGAATTACAGATTCCAACTGACAGAATCCGCCAGAAGCTCCCAGGGAATAATGGCGGTGAGTTCCATCACCAGCATTATTACAGTGCTTCAAAAGAAATATTTTTGATGAACTTAAAAGACAACAAAGTTATTTAAATGGTGCACTAAACTATAGTGAACAGAGACATGCACGACTCAAGAATAAAACTCGGTGGGCACGGTGGACAGTGCCTCACACCTGTAATCCCAGCACTTTGGGAGGCCAAGGCGGGCAGATCACCTGAGGTCAGCAGTTTGAGAACAGCCTGGCCAACATGGTGAAACCCCGTCTCTACTAAAAATACAAAAACTTAGCCAGGCATGGTGGTGGGTGCCTGTAATCCCAGCTACTTGGGAGACTGAGGCAGGAGAATTGCTTGAACCTGGGAGGCGGAGGTTGCAGTGAGCTGAGATTGCGCCACTGCACTCCAGCCTGGGCAACACCTGGGTGACAGAGCAAGACTCCGTCTCAGAAAAAGTAAATAAATAAAACTAGGTTGAGCACAATGACACACGCCTATAATCCCAGCACTTTGGGAGGCTAAGGCAGGAAGATCACCTGAGCCCAGGAGCTCAAGATTGCACTGAGCTATGAACACCACTGCACTCCACCTGTCCACTTGTTCTTGTGTGACAGAAGACCCTGTCTCTTAAAAAATAAGATAAAACGATAAACACAGAGTCAGTACTCTACAAGGATAATGGCTACTTCTAGAGGGAAGAAAGGAGTTGTCACTGTGATGAGGCACTTGGAGGGGCTCTGGGGTGCCTGACAAAGTTCTATTTCTTCACCTGGGTGGTAGTTAGAAGGGTGTACCCCTATTTCAAGTTGTACCTTTGTGTGATTGTATCTGTTTTGTAATAATAAATTTTTTTTTAAATTAGTAAAGTCAGTTTTTATGGAGAACTGGAGAATTGAGTCAAACATTAATAGCATTTGGTGGCAACTTCTCATCTGCTGGGAAGCTGCTGCCCAGTGACACTTAAACATCAGTTATCCCGATGTCAGCTCAAGACAGTAAAAGAGAAAACAAGGGCCGGGCGCAGTGGCTCATGCCTGTAATCCCAGCACTTTGGGAGGCCGAGGCGGGGTGGATCACGAGGTCAGGAGTTCGAGACCAGCCTGACCAACATGGTGAAACCCTGTCTCTACTAAAAGTACAAAAATTAGCCAGGCATGGTGGCACGTGCCTGTAATCCCAGCTACTCGGGAGGCTGAGGCAGGAGAATTGCTTGAATCCGGGAGGCGGAGGTTGCAGTGAGCTGAGATTGTGCCACTGCACTCCAGCGTGAGTGACAGAGCAAGATTCTTGTCTCAAAAAAAAAAAAAACAAGATGGTTGGAAGAGTTAAAGGCTCCGTTCCTTGTCCATGTGCTCCATTAGCTTCTAGGCTGCATGATGCCCAGTTGTGCCTCTGATGTAGAAATATATTCCCTGTGTGTTCATTTGCAAGATTTGTAAAGGTGAGGTTCCAGAATCTGATTGCTTATAAATTTACATTACTCAAGCTGGATTTGACCTTAGAGTTTTGTTGGTTTTGTTTTTTTTAAAGCCATGCTTAATAACTTGGCTTGTTAGAACTCTTCTGGAGTCCACCTAGAAAACAAATAGGGAAAAATACTGGGAGGTGAGAAGGCCATTGTGAGATTGCCAGTTGCAGGGCCTGCTTCAGTTCTGCAGTCTGTCCAGCAGCCTAGGCCGCTTGTGCAGTGCATACATTCAAGCACACCTTTCACTTTGAGGCTGCCAATGAAGGCTCTTCTCACCTCAGTGACCGCTTTGGACACTTACACATTCAATGCAGGGCTCATTTCACACCTCCTGTTGCAAGTGTACAAGACCCTTCCCCAGCCCAAACTCCCTTTAGAAAATAAAGTCTCTAGAATGACACCTAAGAAATCAGTAATAGTAAGTAGGAAGGGAAATTTGGAGCTGGAGATGAGGGACAGTGTTTCCCATTTGTCTCCTCCCTCATACCTTTGCAACTTTCTGCCACATGCAGGAAGGGAACACAGCACCCATTTCCCTAGAGCCTGTTCCTGTTGGCCTTCTGCCTTGTCACAGCTGAGAATTTGCCTGATGCCTGCATCAAAGACAAGTCTCATTTGTCTTTGTCTACTGCTCAGCAAAGCAAATTCTCATTACAGGCATTTAGGGCCTAAGATACAGAGTAAGAATTAAAATCCCTTTGAGAGGCATTGTCAGAGACCACCAGGTGGATTCTCAACACATCCAGTGTGGCCCATTTTTTCCCTGGCACCAAAGCAGATGATTCTTCCAGTGAGCACCTTATGAAGTAGCTTGAATTTAGGGGCTGCACTTTATGAAAAAGATTCCTCTAGCACCCAACAAAAGCTCACAGGATAAGCACCTATGAACTGAGAATGGCCTAACCATGGGGCAATAGGCCAACTCAATAATATTGCTCCTGGTTGGGCAGGGTGGCTCATGCCTATAATCCCAGCACTTTGGGAGGCCAAGGCGGGTGGGTCACCTGAGGTGAGGAGTTCGAGACCAGCCTGACCAACATGGTAAAATCCCCTCTCTACTAAAAATACAAAAATTAGCTGGGAGTGGTGGCACGCTCCTGTAATCCCAGCTACTCCAGAGGCTAAGCTGGGAGAATCGCTTGAACCTGGGAGGCAGAGATTGCAGTGAACCAACATCAAGCCACTGCACTCTAGCGTAGGCAACAGAGGGAGACTCCATCTAAAAAAAACATAATTAAAAAAAAAAAAACTGCTTCTGGTATTTTTTTTTCCTAGCATACACTTACATTTGCTGCTGCATTTAAAATACACCGATAATGCAACTTCACTTTATTCCTACCTCCGACTTAGCAAACACATTCTTTCCCCAGCCAACTGTGCTAATGATGTCATCACCAAAATGTTTCCGGGTCAGGTGGGAAAATATACTTTGAACAGGTATCTCCTACCTCTTGTAAAAAGTAAAGTAGAGGTTCCTCTCCAAAGACTTTCCTCCCCATTTAATTTGGAATAAATAGTAACTTCTCTTAGAAGCAAAATTTATTCAAAGACCTATGCTAACATTCTTAATTATCTGCTAGCCATGGTAAACAAATCAATGTACTTTATGTTCTTAGCTCCCACAGTGTAGCCTAAATATTTGCCTGGCATGCTTATACTGGTCCAAGCAAGCATTAGGTCATAGCCTGTTCCTCTTCCTTATTTAAAAGTGTTTTTACCTTTCTCACCATTCCACAAGTTACTTCCTCCTTCCTTTGTTCTCCTCTGCCTTTGCCTCTTTTAAAAAGTTCTAAGTTGCTAGCCAATCAGGACAAATAGAGAATGTGAGGTCCCGTTCCAGCCAATGGAAACCAGACACAGCCGTAGGGTGGACGCGTCAGGTTATAAATGACCCGGTCTCTTTGTTCGGTGTACTCTCATGGCAAAACTGGCGAGTGTACCCTTTCAGCAAGAAGTAAAACTGGCCTTGCTAAGTAAATGAATGTTCAAGTGCTATTTCTTTACGGCACCGGGGAACAAGCATTTCAAACACTTTCATGAGAGATTATTTAAAACAGCACTTCTTTAGATGCGGCATGGTGGTTCACACCTATAATCCCAGTACTTTGAGAGGCTAAGGTGGAAGGATCACTTGAGCCCAGGATCCAACCTAGGCGACATAGTGAGACCTCATGTCTACAAAAAAAAAATTTTTTTTTTTTCCACACACCCACTCATTCAATACAAAAAGTATTTTAAAAATTATTCAGGCGTAGTGGCACACACCTGTAGTTCCAGCCACTAGGGAGGCTGAAGTGGGAGGATTGCTTGAAGGAGGTTGAGGCTGTGATGAGCCAAGATTACATTACTGCACTCCAGTCTGGGTGGCAAAACAAGACCCTGTCTCAAAAAAATAAAACCACGTAAGAATTCAAGGAACCCGGCCGGGCGCGGTGGCTCAAGCCTGTAATCCTAGCACTTTGAGAGGCCGAGACAGGCGGATCACGAGGTCAGGAGATCGAGACCATCCTGGCTAACCTGGTGAAACCCCGTCTCTATTAAAAAATACAAAAAACTTGCCGGGCGAGGTGGCGGGCGCCTGTAGTGCCAGCTACTCGGGAGACTGAGGCAGGAGAATGGCGTAAACCCGGGAGGCGGAGCTTGCAGTGAGCTGAGATCCGGCCACTGCACCCTAGCCTGGGTGACAGTGAGACTCCGTCTCAAAAAAAAAAAAAAAGAATTCAAGGAACCCACGTTTTAATACAAATTGTTAATGAAAATAAGCTTTATTACATCAAGTAATAAATACATACAAAGATGCAAACAGTTTTAGTCATTTTCTTCCAGATGTTTTTATCAACTTACAATAAACGCGGAACTGAGATCTACTTACAGTCTTAGTATGAAAATGTTCGGGGGTCCTTGTTAGGTTTGGTGGGTTGCTCTTTCTTCTGTATTTATAACTTGTGCATTTTTAAAAATTGACTTTGAAGCACTAATAGTCATGCAAATGCTTAAGCAAAAAAGAAGTTACATTAAGCAGAACCTACACTGTATGGCAAATGGGAGCCAGCTACTAAGTAAAGGGTGCTGTCAATATGCATTAAAAACAAAATCCCTAGAGCGGTGTTAGCTTATGAAAAGGAACAAAGAACACCGTGGGTAACAAATGCATTCAAAAGAGAAGATTAAAGGGAGACAATGGTGTCTTGGAGGCAAACTACAGTTTGCTGTAAGATAACTTTACGTGCATCTTTTAAATCAATGCTAAAAAAACAAAAAAACCTGGGCAGTTCCTAACTACTTAAAATGCAAATCCTAATTAACAGCAAAATCTTTTCTCAATCTTTGAGACTGTAGGTTCAGAGCCAAGTGAACCATGGGAGGAAAAAACAAACTGTAACCATTTTGAAAACAAGGGTTTCATCTGAACAGGGGAGATGAACTGTAACTTCTCATCTTGTAAAAAGATGGAAATCCTTCAAAACCAACAAGGCAGCTAGGATCTGGCATTCCGTTCCGTTTCTGCTAAGCACTCCCGAACCAGTCCTCTAGCGTGAATGATGCCTGAAAGAGAGGCAGAGACCTGAGATCAGCCCGTGCACAGGACCAGCCAGTAGAGCCCATTCTGGAACAGGAAGAGGATCCATCCTTCCACAGCCTGTCCACAAAACCCTCAGACAGAAAGGGAACTGGGGGAACCTATATCCAAGCAACCCTGAAGGATGCTAACAATCCCATCCCCCTAAAGCCCTTCCCTCCTCACCACAACTCTTCATGTCTCTCTAAACATTTTTTCCTGCATTCAAGGTGGCACCAGCAAGCTGTCCTTCTATGACACTGTTGAATAAAAGACGTGTCTCCACCCAAATTCTTTTGCTTGACCCACTGTTGAGATTTTTCTCTGGCTTCTTCAGTCTGAATTCTAGAAAGGGCTTGACCAGCGTAAGTAAGCAAGAAAATGGCTCCAGCTACACACATGAGGGCGCAGAGGACTAACTGCTGCCCATGCAGGACCCTGGGTCCACGGGGACATCCCCACAAGACTCTGCGGCTACTTTCTGCCCAATGAATCTTCCCCAATCTTTTGTCTCTATGGTTTGGTGGTTACCTTTTTTTCTTTCTGCCTCTACTGAACTTCATAAAATATGATCTTTTAATAGACACTGAGGATTCTGTTCCTTCTAATCCATGACTCCCAGAGGCCACTGGGAATGACATCCCACATCATCGCCCCACAAATCTTAGAATCTAACTCAGAGCCTTGGAGAATGTTTTGTGTGAGGACCAGACAGCAAATATTTTGGGCTTTGCAGGCTACACAGTGTCACAACTACTACACTCAAATGTTTTTTGAGACAGCATCTTGCTGTCACCCAGGATGGAGTGCAGTGGCCACAATCACAGTTCACTGCAGCCTCAACCTCCCAGGATCAGATCACCTGATCACCTCCCACCTCAGCCTCTGGAGAAGCTGGGACTATAGGCACACACCACCATGCCTGGCTGTTTTATTATTATTTGTAGAGATGGGAGTCTCACTACGTTGTTCAGGCTGAACTCGAGCTCCTGGCTTCAGCCTCCCAAACTGCTGGATTACAGGCATGCACCACCACACCTAGCCCCACAAACCTTTATTTATGAACACTTAAGTCTGAATTTCACATAACTTTCACACGTCCCAAAATCATTGTTTTTTTCAACCATTAAGAACGATGCCTGTCACGGTGGCTCACACCTGTAATCCCAGCAGTTTCGGAGGCAAGGGCAGTTAGCCACTTGAGGTCAGGAGTTTGAGACCAGCCTGGCCAACATGGTAAAACCCCATCTCTACTAAAAATACAAAAATTAGCTGGGCGTGGTGGTGAGCACCTATAATCCCAGCTACTCAGGAGGCTGAGGCAGGAGAATTGCTTGAACCCAGGAGGCAGGGGTTGCAGTGAGCCGAGATCGCACCACTGCATTCCAGCCTGGGTGACAGAGCAAGACTCCGTCTCAAAAAAAAAAAAAAGAAAAACACACTATTCTTGGCTCTTGGCTCGTGGGCTGCAGTTGCCAACCAACCTACAACGCTCCTATGCTCCTAACTCCCTGACCCCTCTATGACATGTTTTCACCCTGCTGTGACATGAGCTTGGTCAGCTTGGGCTTGGCTGTTGGCCAAGGGGTGGCACTGGGTCTTCCTTGTTACTGCAAGACTAGCAGCTAGTACGCATTTGCTGACTTGAAGCAGTGCCTTTTATGGGCAACTGCAAATCACCTGTTGGACTTTGGGACCCAGCATCTTCCCAGGAATTTCCATTCGGGTAACCAGCACCCCTGCTACCAGAGAGCGGCCCTGGGACCACCCAACTCTCTGGGCGAGACCAGGGTTGGGTTCTGCATCCCTTCCCCAGGCCCTCTTCAATCACATCCTCTAACCCTGCTGGTCCCAACCTAGCTTTGAGATCCGTCAACCTCTTCACAAAGGCTGCATGAACTCCAGAGCAACCCCGCTCCTGGCAGCAGCCTGTCCTCAACTGGCCCTCGTGTCACTGGGGTCATGACTTCAACTACAGCCCCCATATTTCCTACAGATTTACAACCAAAGAATGTTCCTCTCCCAGGCCAGGCATGGTGGCTCACGCCTGTAA